AGATGTTAAATGGAATTTTAATAAAAACGTTAAAAAATAATTATACTGCATATGTATGCAATATATGTATCTATATACATATGTAAATATTTATACTTCATACATCTGTATTATGGTTTTTTTTGTTGTTTTTTAAGAGAGCGAGCAAGCACATGCATGAGTGAGCAGCAGAGGGGAGAGAGAGAATCTTAAGCAGGCTTCCTGCCCAGCAGGGAGCTGAGATGGAACTTGATTTCACATGAAATCATGACCTGAGCCAAAATCAAGAGTCTGATGCTAAACCGACTCAGCCACCCAGGCGCCCCATCTGTATTATGTTTTAAATAAGCATATTGATCACAAATTTAGTTTTCTTTTATTTGGATATATGAAGATGTCCAAATGATTATTTTGATATATTAAGATAAGTATTGTCTCATATTCTTCCATTCTTTTTCTCCTGGAATATAACCTATTCCTTTCTGATTTTTATATATTTTTTAAATATTTCATTTGAGATGTTTTAGCATCAATATTCACAAATGATTTTGAACTTTGCATTGTACTGTGCATTGTACTGTGCATTGTTATCTTTGCATTGTACTGTGTTGGTAACATTCTGACACTGATGATATAGGTCATGCATAAGTTATATTAACTATCCCTTTTCTTCTGGACTGGCTTATATAGCATTACAATATATTTAAAGGATTTAGTACATTTCTGGGCCAAATGTCTTCTCCTTTTCTTTCTTTGGGGGGCAGGGCTAAGTACATTCCTGATGACTTTAAATTTTCATTAGCAGTTGGTTTGATCTTTGTCTTCTAATGTTTGAAAAATTATATTAATATAGATTTTAAATTTCTTTCCCATTTGAGTGTACTGACTTCAGTGTAACAAGAATTTATCTATTTCTTTACTGTGTTTTTATCATTGATTTCTTCCTATTTATTGTTTCCTATTTTGTTCAATTGCACCTTGTCCTTTATTTTTTAAGTCAATGTTTTATGTTATTTTTTCAAAGAAACAGGTTTATATTTCTATTTTCTGATCCACTAATTTTTGCTTTAATGATTCTTAATTCTTTCTGCTTACCTCTGTTTGTGTATTTTGCAATTTCTTTAAAATTTACAGATTTGAATACCTAATTATGTAATTTGTCTTTCTAGACAATGTATATTGCTGAATTACTTTGAATGCACTCTTTCATCAATTATTGTAAGAGATATTTAAAAGAAGTTTTGAATGGTAGTGGCAAATTTTCTTGTATTGAACTTGGAAAATATTGCCTGTACTAATAATTTTTCATATAAATGTGTTTCATTATGATCTGATAGTTATTTTTGTTAGTGTGCATTCAACACTGGAAAATGTGATATATATTTTTTATGGCAAAAATTCTGACACATATTAATTTACTTTTTTGCACTAGTGCTGTGTTATTTTCCAAGACTCCCTTTTCTCATCCCTACCCCAACTCCATCTCACACTGAGGTTGCAGTTTAGCATCTGCTGTGGAAACAAAAACCACGATCCCAAAATGTTTACAAAAGTGCAAAATAGAAGACAATATGGGTATCAACTATGGACTGGAAATGTTTCCCTTTAAGATCTTGAAATTCAGTAAATGGATTTAATGCCATGTGAGACAAAGTGGTTTCCATATGTTAGAGGGGAAGGGGTACTAAGTAAACTTTTAGCATATTTTAAGTCTGCACATCTACCAAATTTAGTCATGTGAAACATAAGCAAATCAGACTCGTTTCACACAGGCATTTTTTGTGTAAAGTGATACCGTCTGTCTGGACTCCTGGGTTGAGTCCATGAATCCAAGTGGAGGAGGGGCCAGCACAACTCTGAATCACTCACAGAACAAACTTTTGTGTGGCAAGGGCTCCTTTGTTTCTGACTGAAACAGGGGTGGCCCAGCTGTCTTCATGAACAAGCCCTTGGAATACTTTGTATAGCTATGGTGGCAGTGACATCCCTTTATTTGACCTCTAAATGAGCTGAGGAGGGAACAGGAAATCCTTTTTTAAACATCATTTTATTTTTTATTTTCTTATTTAGACATCCATCACAAATAATACATGTTTTTGTTGTTGTTTACTATATATCAGAAATTAAATAGCACATTTTTAGTTTTAACTGAATGACTTTGGTTGAAAAAAACTACTCCATCTTTTTGAAATTATGACTATAAAGGTAATTTGCCTACATGCTACACAAAATCTTAAACTAATAATGTTACTTTAACACAAGTTCCAAAGATTTCAAAAAGAAAAACTTCATGGAGTATTAATTCTTGTGCAAGCTCTTCTCAAGTACACAAACACACATAAGCCCTATTTTTTACACATGTCACTTTAAAAATCCCAGCTATGTTTCAAGTTCTTTGTCCAGAATACATTTGGTCATCATAACAACCCTGTAAAATAGATGGTGCTGTACCCATTTCTCATATAAAAAAGTTGAGGTATAGAAAATTTAAGTGACTTTCTCCAGATTGCACGGCTGGTAAGAAGCAGTCAAGATTGTAAGTATTCTTTGTCACCAAAACCATTTTATCTTCTGATAATTCTTATTCCACTGTATCTCCTTAACTTTATTATGATCATTCAAGATGCTATTTGAATAAAAACATGCTATTTCACAACATTAGGTAGTGTATACCAGGACAAAGTTTTCAAAGCTTTCCAGGCTCAACTTAAAAATCTCTCCTTGAGAGCAGCTTAGCCACTATTCAAAGCTCATTTTTTTTTGAGACTTTGGTCTCAGTACAGTTTTTGTGAGTGACCCATCTGGTCCTTTTCTTTGGTTGTTTGGTCATCTGAGCCCTCTTTCCTCTGCAGTACTGGGGTGGCCTCAGGGGAACCAGCATATTTGAATTTTGTTTTGAATCACTCACCCTGCATGACAGTAAGAGTGAGGCTTCTACAGCCTCTTGATTGGTGAATTCTTTGGATAAAAGGAATCAATATGGAAGAAATATGACAAAAATATACTTACCAATAAAACTAGGAATCATGTAAGAAGGAACAGGCAGTGTAAAAATATAGGAGGCTAAAGCATGTTATGAGTAAGGGACTAAGAAATACCAAGTCCACAAGGTAACAGATAAAGCTCCACAGCCCCCACATTCTCTAGGAATTTATTTATGTCCATCTCTTTGCCACCTGGCTGAACCATTCATACTAAAAGATTGCATGTGTGTTTCCATTAGCAATATTCAGCTGGTCCTGAGCATGTAGGTGAGGAAAGAGGCAGCATGGAGACTGTGTTGTAGAAATACAGAGTTCCATTTGCAGTTCCAATATGTCATAGTTATATGGGCAAGTAATATAACCTCATTTATACCTCATTAGGATTATGAGAAAAATTAGAGCACAAGTACCTCATAAAGTTGGTCTAGGAGTTAAATTAGTGCTTTGGAGAGTGCTTAGCACATGTCACAAACTGCAAATGGACCCTGTCTTTGCTGAATAGTCAGGGCAGTCTGAATCTCCTGGAACTCACGCATCTGGTATATTTCCACATGTTAGCCAAGATAACAATTCTGCAGTTGATGCATACAGCGTTTTACACATTTTACACTGGATAAATTGTTAAAATTGTGCTATTCAATTGATATTCTTTATTTGCTTGTTCAGTTACTGAAAAGATGTATGAAAATTGCCCATTTAAATTTTCTATTTTTCTCCTTATCAATTATTTATTTGATTACCGGATGGCATATTATTAAATGAATACAAAATTGGAATAGTTTTATCTTCCATGTAAATTATGTTTATATACCAACCATATTTATCTCCAGCAATGTGTTTATCCTTAATACCAACTGTATCTATTACAAAAGCCACAGCATTGTTATTTAGCTTTTCATTCTATTACTTTTAATGTTTCTGTATTCTTATACTGTAGATGTGTATTTTAAACAGCATTTAGCTTCATTTTTATTTTAATCATGTCTGATAATCTTTAAGTTTTAGTTTTTAAACCATTTTCATTTAATCTGATAGTGTAATTGTGCTATACTATCTCCTTATTACTATTGTGTTTAGTTTTTGTTCCTTTATACATTTCACTTTTTTTTTAATCTTTTCACTCTTATATTCTGACTGGTTCCAATATTTTTATTATTCTATTTTCTCTTTCATAATTTTGTCATTTGTATGTTGAAAACTTGTCAAAAGCCCCTTTTTTAATGTCAAGAGACAATACAAAATATTAATACAAAGAACTGTATATCTGAGTTCAAGGCTGATTGTGCTGTTAAAAGGAATGTGATTGTGCTAAATCGCATGGGAACACACATTTGTGTATTTATAATAGGAGAGTGAGCTATCGATGCCACCAAAGGAATTACCAATGTCCTACTTTGTAAATCCTTTATCTGTGTCTGCTACATTTGACCACAGCCACTTGAATATGTTTTCATTAGATACTAATCACTGAAGCCTGTGAAAAGGAAAGATCATTTACACACTTCACACTCACAACAGCAAATACTATTAGCCTTTCGTTTTCAGCTTCTAGCTCTTCCAGATATATGACAGTGTATATGTTTTATATATATCTTGAAAGATATAACTTTTACACACATTTATATGCAAATATATAATTCTTAAATATATACTTTGAAATGTAAGTAATTTCACATCAAGCTTTACAGGATAAAAACATGTAAACATACGCACTTGGTTCTGGTCAAGTAAAACACAAAACCACAAGGTAACCACATGTTAAAGAGTGCACTTGAAGAGGAATGAGGGAAAGAACGGACATGTAAACAACAAAGATGAGCAGTTGTACCACAAAGGCCCTGCGAGGGTCCATTTCTTAAGGCTGTAGTAGCAAAAAGCTCCTTGTTCAGTTAAGACTTCTCCCTTCACCCTGTCACATTTATTCTTGAGGGACTTCAAAATGAGTGTGGAAATTCTGTAAACACTAGACTAGACCTGAATCAATCCTGTTGAAAACAGAGATGACAAAATAAACCATAAACTACAGTAATATTCATTTCATCGAACAATAACTTTAAGGACTTTGTTACAGTTTACCACAGTAAAACAGCATAACCCTGAAATGAGGATGGACAAGAAAACAGAGATGAATGCTTTGTAAAAATGGCTTCCATAGCCCCTGTAAATGATAGATGTGTCTATAAACAACAAACAAGCAATAGCAGATGACAGAGCCTTAGCACACTAGACCACATGCCACAGCATAATGCTACAGATTCAAACTGGAATATTTTTCCAGCTCATAAGGAAGTAAGTCCCACTGGTCCTCTGAGAAAAAAAAAAAAAAAAAAAAAAAAAAGCGCACTCTTTCCCAGTGAAAGAAAACACTTAAACAACAGATTGGCCAGCCGAAGCATGACAAGCTTTTTTTTACTGCTTTTAAAGGGCACTCGCCCTCTCCCACCTGAGTAGGCTCCAAAAGTTGACTGCAGTGAGCACCGGATGCCTCAGCACCCTGCCTCTGAGGATCCTCTCCTGGGCCCTCAGGGGTTGCATGCTTGTAAAAACAGTTCTCTCCAAATGGGCAGTAACCCCTGCCTTCAGCAAAATACCTGCAAGTCTTGTTGCTCATTGCCTCCTTGTACTGCTGAATAAGTTTCTGTTTCTCTTCCTCCTCCTCCACCCAGAACTCACTGGGAATGACAAAGTTGGAGGTAACCCTGCACTGTGGACAGGACTTGACGATCCTGTTGCCAAACTGTTTGTCAGTCCTCCACCTGCGGATACACTTAAGACAGTAGGTGTGGTTGCAGTTGGAGAGGATGCCAAAGCGGCAGTCACTAGGGTTGACTTTCTCATAGACAACCTCCATGCAGATGCCACACACCTTGTCCATACTTCGCTGCACTGCAAATGAGAGTTCCATATCCTTCTCGTGTGCTTCAATGCAAGCCTTTGTATGGTCTGCCCTCTGCACAGCATCCACAGGGTGCAAGACCTGAAGCCCACACATATCGCATATCTCTCCATGGATATACATACAACTCTCCCCACGAAAGCACTGCCCCATGGCAGCATCACGGCAAAGCTGCTGACCCCTGCCCACTGCAATCTGTTCCCTCTCAGTCACTGGGCTCTGTAGAGGAGCCCTGGGAACAAAAGGGACCATGCGGCCCCTATAGGGTTGCCCGGGAACAAATTCAATAGCATTCTCCCAGCCTTCTACACTGGCTCCTCCTGCAGCTTCAAGGCCTGCATTGTCTCTCTCAGCTTCAAAGAAACCCCTTTCAGCAGCCAAGCCAATCACAGGCAAGGAGCATGAAGGCGCAGCAGAGGGGGCTTTCGCCACTTCCTGAGGCAGGGTCTCAGTATGCGCAGCCGTGCTAGGGCCTTGGTCTGCAGAGGCCGGAGGCAGTGAACCATGGCCCTCCCTGGCCAACTGCTGGCCTGAGAGGTCATGTGAGTAGCGACAGTTCTCCCCCTCCTTGCAAAGCCCATGCAGATAATACCTGCAGATGACTTGCTTCGTCCAGCTGCCACCACTCCGGCCCTGCAAGCGACTGGGCCCAGCCCCTCCCCCTGCAGCCTGGGCAGGCCTCAGACGTGACGCGCGAAGGGGGGCCGGACCTGTAGCCGCAAATTGCCGGAAGACCGGGCGAGTGCGGAGACTAGGCCCAGGAGCACCCTCCCCTGCTGCCTCGGCACCCGTAGATGCCCCAGGTGCCTCAGAGGCTTCAGTGGGAGCTGCAGGCTCTTCCATGGCAGCCTCTTCCCCCCAAAAGGTACCGGAACTTCCCCTGTGTGCCTTCCTTTGGGCTAGAGGCCCGGAGGGTAGCAGCCGGCTCGGGGACCTTGTTTCGGGGAAGTGTGCATCTCTTTTCCTTTCCCCCTGCTCTCTTCCTGTGACTGTGGTTCCTACTGCCTTCTCTGGGCACGCGCGGCGGACACTTCCTGTGGTGGCAACGTCAATCCTCTATTCATTCCGTACGGTCTGTGCAGCGTGCACGGCGATTGCGATCTTCCTTTGTTCTCGCAGCTGGGGCTGCCCCGCCCCTTCCCCGGCCTCTGCCCCCGCTAGTCTGCATGCCAGCTGGCGGATCCCAACGCTTCTTGCTGGCAGGCTGCTCTGGAGGACGTAATCACAACTCTTTGAGGTTTTTATTTAATCTCTTCCAGTGTTCATTCAGACACCTTGTATTCGATTGTTTTTTCACATATGTCTGTTTTAAAAATCATAATCCTCCCCCCTCACTCAGTTTTTATTCTGGAATATCTCCCATATAAATTATAAATTCTTTTTTGTTCATTCCATTTTACGTCTACGTGGGACTGTGTGTGTGTGTGTGCGCGCGCGCGCGGGCGCGGGCGCGCGTTAAGTCTTATGACTGTCACTGTGAGATGCTTTTTGTAGATGCGACAAGATTTCTTCTGGTCTTTATTTTCTGGAAATTCTTACAAGCTTACGGTGGAAATGCTCTTTGTCAGCAAGCCATTAGCAGAGAGTGCTTTGGAGGCGAGACCACTTTAGTGCCTTTCAGATGTCTTAGTTTATTGTGATTTCCAATTCTCCCTTCCCACTGTGCAGAAGCTGCTGAATCCGTACGATCCTGATGCAGGCATAATAAGCCACTGTCCTCTGTGTGACCCTGGCTTTTATTTTCTCTTGCTGGTTTAACTCATGGTGGTCCTTTGTCTCCCTTTCTTTCTTTCACTGAGGTTTGTATGGTATTGTGGCAGGCCAGCCTTTCATAATGTATTCATTCTCTATCATTCTGCTCACAAGTGGTGCTTTTTAATTTCCTCTGTGAGCTCTTTGTCCCCTTGCAAATATATTTTAGTAGATTAATAAATATATATATATATGTATAATATATATATGTGTGTGTGTATATATATATATATATATATATATATATATATTGCTAAGAGTATGTATCCTGGATTTATGCTGAATTTTATCTTGTAGTTTTCTGCATTCAGAAATTATTTTACATTATTTTCCTCCTTTATTCTCTTAATGTGATTATTTACACTGATAGATTTTCAGATATTTAAAAATTTACTATTTTTTCCTCAGAAATAAGCATTTCTGTGTTATGATGATTTATAATTTTATATATTATTGGATTTTGTTTGCCAAAATGCATTTCTTAGGATTTATGGTGTAAATTTTAAAATGGTAGAAAGCACAGAAGTCAGATTGAAGTAAATAATAAAGAAAAAATAAACCTGAAGTAGTGTAATGAATCCAGTGTAATCCTTTAAATGGATTATTGAGACGTATGAAATTTGTTAAGAAAGAAATGAAGAAGCCTCAAATAATATTGAGAATTTTTAAAGTGGTGTCACTACATTAATAATAGACATGAAAAATTGTGATAGGATATCAGAAATAAGTTTAAGCCATTAAGTGTGAAAATTTGTACAAAATGGTCTTATTTCTAGAGCCACATCTATTAATAAAAATGACAGGAGCAGAAAAAAGAAATACTGGCCTATTACATAAATTGAATCTGTAATTAAAAATAATTCTTAAATGAAAGATTTTAAAGATTTCTATCTGAAATAAATAGGCAAAATTTTCTTTATTTATTATTGTCAGTCCTAGCCAGTACCATAAAGCAAGAAAAGAAATAAAAGATGTTATAATTGTAAAAGAATTATTAATAGGAGACAGCAGAAAATTAAAAACAAAAATTGATAAGCCATTAGATTTAATAAGCATATTTAACAAGGACATTGGATAGAAGTACAATATACCAAACAGTTATATTTCCATTTCAGTTAATGACATTTAAACACTTAAAATTCTTAACATTGATAGCAACATAAAAAGTTAACTACCCTAGAAATTAAACTACTTACCATTGTAAAAACTAAAATTATTTTTTTATTTGGGAAGATTTAAAGAAATCAGGGGATACTGTGATCATGCAGTAGAATATTTTCAAAAGGTAAGCTTTTCCTAATTTGGTAATTATGAGAATATTGCTGCTTTCCACCATGAATGTAGGAACTCTTGGTGATTTTGAATTTTCCTCTTTGTATAGTTACTGATTTTTGTACTGGTGATGCCAGTTCTTCCAAAGTCTGACTTGCATTCTCTTTCCTCTCATAAATGCATTGGTTAATGGTGTTCCTCTGACAGCCCCTCAGATTTTCACAGGGAAAAGACTTGGAGCATAGAGTGGGTTTATATAGCAGGCTTTTCACAGATTCACAAACAAGAATCTTGAATATAAAACTGTTATTTCCTAAATGATAATATGTTCCCAGCACGGTGTTTAATTTCTATTTGATCCACTTTTTACAGACCAGCACTGTCCATAGAATGTTCTGTGTTGATTTTTATGTATGTCCTATCCAGTATGGTAGATATTAGCCCCATGTGGCTCTTGAGCACTTGAAATGCAGCTAGGATGACTGAGGAACTGAATATTTAATTTCAAATTTAATTTAAATAGCTACATAGAGCTAGGAGCTACTATATTGGACAGTGAAGTTCTGTAGAGTATTTGACCATCCCATCTCCTCAGGCATGAGGGTACGGAGATTTTCTAACCTGCTTGAGGCTATGCAGCTGGCATGGAGCAGCATTTGTTTTCAGACCCCACCTCAATGGCTCCCAATTGTGTTCATGTCCTAACATCTCATAGTGAACTATGTGTTCTAGTTTTATAATGCAAATATTTCATATACACTATTAGAAACTAAAATTGTACCCCATGATTTTAATATATGAGATGAAACAACTGGAAATGGGGCAGGGCATGTTGAAAGAATAAGCAGACTCTTCCCATCTGGGTCACATATCTATTCTCAGAGAATTGTCTCTGACTGTCATAGTCCATATTCCTGCCCTGTTTTTCTTATGTTTTATGTTTTTTTTTTTTTAAGCACTGATGTTTTCACACAGTCTCTGAGAATACACATCTGATCATGTCTCCAGTTATTTGGCTCAGTTGAGTGCTCTTTTCCCAAAAAACACACCAAGGGCCTCAGGAAATGTGACCTAAGGCCAACTTGTGCACACATCAGTCTTCAGGGCAGCACAAGAGCTCCTCACTGGTCAGAATTTATATATCCAATTGGAATGAATGAAAACAATGTTCCACTTGAGAAGGCTGCACTAAAAACTTAGTCCACAGAATGAAAAGGGGAGGGGAGGGGGGCAGTTGCAGGGGTGGTATAAACACTGCAGGGCTGAGACACAGTCCAGCAGCTTAATAAAAGCCCAGGAAGCAGGAGACTAGTTCAGAAATGGACTGTAGGGATGGATAGAAAAAAACTAGGAGGCTTCACAGTCTTTTATTCCAAATAGCTCAGGCCTGCTGGGATCAGCCCCACATACCTGATACCCATATATAAAAGATGCACAATTATCTCAAAGTAATTTCCTTCAGCAAACACATCTGCTTCAGGTCCAATGTTTAGGTACTAATGTGGGGTGTGGAGATAGGAATTAAAAGGAAAGGTCTAGATCAGGCATCAGGGGTTCAAATCTGGAATCCACAACTTTCAAACTGAAGGATTCATCTTGGGCAAATTAATCACCCTCTTTTACTTCATTTGGCAAATGGCAGGAATAGTAATAATAGCAATAACAATATGAGTGATTATCTCACAGATTTGCTGTATTAAAGGAGATAAATATTTTTTTAAATCTTTTTAATGTTTATTTATTTTGTTGAGAGAGAGGAACACAGAACACAAGTGGGGTAGGAGGTGGGAGCAAGGGAGACACAGAATAGAAAAACAGGCTCTAGGCTCCCAGCTGTCGGCACAGAGTCCGACGTGGAGCTCGATTCCATGAACCGTGAGATCATGACCTGAACTGAAGTTGGATGCTCAACTAACTGAGCCACCCAGGTGCTGCAAAAAGAGTGAATTCTTAGGAAATAATTAGAGTATTACCTGTTAAAAAGGATAGTCTCAGATCTCCATAAATGTCTTTTGACTAAAAACCAAAGAATCAT